CGTTTTACGTTGCTATCATCCCTTTTTATTTTTACGTAGAAACTCGAGTTTGACGACATTGGCAGTAACTGCCGAAATATTTTTTTGATATATATATATATATATTCACAACTTTTAGAATTTAATTATAATAGATAAGTTCTATTTCCTTTTCTGGAGAGAAGAGTCAATATATTCATAATGCTAGTATACAAATGAAAATTAAGCCAGTTTTTTATAGACCCATTAAAATAAAACAGAATAATGTAATATAAATATTTTTTTCATTGAATAAATTTTAAAAATAAAATAAGATAGAACGTGAGATTAAAAAATAATATTTTATTTTAGAAAAGGTAAAATTAAAATCAATTTCATTCCGTTTTATTAAGATGTTTAAGCATTATCTGATCTTGCATTTGGTGCATTGGAGACTCGCAATTGGCTCTGAATTCTTTTACACAGCGTCACAAAACTCAGAACTCAAAAATCTTCGGGGTTGCACCTACTGTCTACTGACCTACTTCCTCCAATTATCTTTTTTATTTTGAGCTGACGATGTGTGAGAGACATGTTGTGTACACTGTATACAGTACTGTACATACAAAGAACCAGCAGGTTCTGAAAAGGTAAGTAACTATCTCTTTCATCAAGTTTGACAAATTTTGTGATTGCGTTTTTTATAATTAATTAGTTGCAGATCGGCCAAAGCAGATCCTTTTCAACTATGGACATTAATTGTGTCGTTAATTTAGCTTATTACTATCTACCCCCTCCCCCAACGCATAAGGGGGGTGCAATAGAGGAAAGAAAATATTAAGATAAAAGGAAGAGCTTTTGAAAAAGTATGGAAATATCATTATATTTTGAATTTATTCATTATTTAATCTTTCATATAAGTCATGTGGTCATATAGCTAGGGTTATATATGAATAAAAGGGAGTAAGTACACTTCAATATATTATTGGTACGATGGTTATATTTCATACTAAAAGTCATAGACAAACAAAAGGTTATAGAAACCTTTTGTATTCTAGTAGTTATCTATATGTGAAATTCATATTTTACAATATTTTCTCTTGAATGATTATATACTATAAATATGTCTCGTTAAAATTTTGTTAAAAAAATTTAGTGGGATAAAAAATTTAAAAAAGAGTACAATATTCACAGTTAACATAATATCTTTTATTATATGCTAGTAAGATTTAGCACTATTATCAAACTAAGATCGATTATCGATTCGGTCAAGATATTAGATTAATAGGTCATCGGTTCAACTAATGAGTCTTTGGTTCAATCGTATGAATTAAATATATAAAATAAAATATAATAAATATGAATATAATAAAAATAGCTATTAATTTGAGTTGATTTAGTGTTAAATGTTATAAAATATAATTCACATGGTCTAGGTTTGAATCTCATAAATGATATTTTTCAAACATTTTATTTAAAATTTCATAAACTTAATTTTTTTGAAAAATGGGACTGGCTTGGGTCTGGCTTATTGGTAAGATTTAGTTAGAATAGATAAATTATGTTTCTTAATATTTTGATTATCCATAGAGCATAAATATTAGGTTGAATTACCCCGTTAGTTTCTATATATATTTTTTTAAATAATAAGCTTTTATTATTTGAAATTTACAATTAAACACTATTCTGGACTGATATGTTGGGCTTGCTTGACAGGCCTAACCTCCCACTCTCATTAAAGGATAAAAAATCTTTTTATATATGATTTTTCCTTACTCCCCTTGAAAATGTGACCCTCAGAGGATTCATGCAATCTCACACATCAGTGGAGTTCATTGGACAAAAACAATTTTGGCTTATCATTTTCATGCCAGGAAATATTCTTTCAATATTATATATACCAATGGTCCAATGGTCCAATGGGGAGTCCTCACCTCCATCACAGTCCCTTCTTATTACTCTACTAAAATACAACCTCTCATAGCCATAATCACACCCTGACACCTCCCCCTTAATCTCAGCTTCAGCTTGATACCTGAATGACGGTGACCATTTGAGCTCTAATTCATATTATTACCCCATTCAACCACTGTTATGTTGACATACTTTACTCTAAGAGGGAAACATCCTCTTCCTTTATCCTCAGGTAGTGTTTGGTTGAAGGATTATTTTGGGATTGATGGGAAAGTGTAAGTGAATATTGGAGAATACCACATTTGGTTCAAGTTTTTTCAAAAAAATACTAGGCAAAAGAGATAGATGGGGAAATGACTTTTGTGTTGATTTTTGGATGAAATTCACTATTACAAAATACCACTTGAGATGTGGTATTTTGAGATAACTGGGGAAGTGAAAAACAGGTGCGAAGTTTCTCCCGAACATAGATTTTGCAAATTTAAATAAATTTCCCTGGTAATATTTCGGTCAACCAAACAACTTTTTTTACATTTTCCTACCAAACTCATTTTCCAACCATTTCCCTAGTAATTACATTTCCCTAGTATTCAAAAAAATTCTCCTCAACCAAACACCCCCTTAAGAATTTTATTTTGGAAATTGTTGCAGGTATCCTCCAGTTGAAAGTTAAAAACTAATTCTCTCGAGGCAGAGAAATCACGCAATTGTGGATACAATCTCTATCAATGAAGCCTTTTTTATACACACGATCAGGAATCGAACCTTGATAGGTATATTTAAAAGACTCGGCTATCTACCAATAGAGATGTTAACGGACCGAGCCGAGCTTTGGTCTTAAAAGGCTAAGCTTGTGTTTAAATGTGTCAGTCTGACCAAGCATGTTACCTGTTATAAATATAATTATCAGCCTGTGGGCTGACTTATTTACAAAAAATAAAAGTCTGATTTAGCTTGTTAGTCTGTTTAAAAAAAATAAGACAACAAAAATTTATCCAAATAGAATACACAATCAACAATACTAGTAATTCTATAAATATTCATAAATTCAATATATATCCAAATAGCATAATATAGAACAAAATCATTCAAAAAGTCTGTTTAACCAATAAAATGAGATGAAATGGATTGAGGAGAAAGAGAGGGCTATTACAAGTAGTATAAAAAAATATAAAAAAAAATAAAAATAATATACTAGGCTAGCCTGAGAGACTCTAAGGCCGAGCTTTTGAATTGGAGCCTGAGACATTTTTATTAAACGAGCTTTTAAACAAGTTCAACTCTGGTGCCAACAACCAATTTTAGAAATGTAAGCTCGGGCCTTCACGAGCCAAGCCAAAGGCCCCTGAAAGGTCCTTGGTTCGCTTAGCACCCCTATCTACCAACTATATCGGGCTTTGTTGGTTCCCTTAAGAATTTCAAGTCTATATGCTTCTAAACAAAATTTTAAATTACTTCTTAAACCCACGTATGATTAGAGTATTTTTTTAAATTTTGAAATTTTTATGAAAAATAGAACCAACAATATAATTTAACTTACTTATTAGCTAAAGTTCTCTATTACTAATGTCCTTCGGATTGAGTTCAAACATCTTGTAAAGAATAAATTCAATTCAAAAACTTAAGTTGTTGGGTGAGACTATATTAATGTTTTATATATCTCTAACATGTCCCCTTACACGATAGTGTACTGGGCTTGAAGGGTAGACAATGCACAGGTCCACCTATCTATGCTAAGAAACTCCATAAGACTTAATTAATTATTAATTAAATAGGGGGCGGTGAAGATCGAACGCATGACACCAATTCCTGATACCATGTTAAGTGTCAATTCAACCGAAAAACTTAAACTATTGGGTGAGGTTACATTAATAATTTTATATATTTCTAACACATCAGATACATTTCAGAAAAGCAAAACTTAATTACGAGGATATTAATGCAATTTTTGAAGAGGGAGACATGATGAATAGAATGCTAAACATCTTAACTTAAACCAATACCTTATGCATAACATGGTGATATTTTTATATTAATATAATGCATTTGAAATCGTATTTTGTAAAACATCTTTAGGTTTTGATAATTTTAAAATTTTATGACTTAGCTATACATAATGTCTAAATTTTATACATTTTTTAAATGTAATGTTGTTGGGTTAGGATGAAATAAAAAATATCAAGTGATATTGAGCTATATGTTAAACCGGAGCAACCAAATCCCTAAATTATAGCATGCTACCAATATAAAAAAAAAATGACAATGTACCAATAATTAATATCAAGGACCCCAAGCATCAGCAGGACTTGTGCTCTTTAGGTGCTTATTATCTATGGGAGATTTTCTTCTTAAGCTTATATATAGGTCAAAAAGCCCAGTATAATATTATATATCAGTTTGACCCCACCCACTATTCATTAAAGCACATCCTTTCATTTTCCTGGATCTAACATCTTTGTTTGTCTATGGCTGCCTTGTTAATTTGGGCTAATTGGCCATTCGTTTCTGTTTAAATCTACACATCGATGACAATGAGCCGTAAAAAGTCTCAAAAAGTTTAGGAGATTAGTTTCTAAAGCTTGCATATCCCTGGTGGCCTATCACTGTTTTCATTACTTTTAGGACTTGTTTAGAGTAAAAAATAGAATAAGATAACTTATCATATCTTATTTTTATTTTTTGTTTGGTGGATAAATAGAATATGATTAACTTATATTATTGTTTCATTTTATCCTATTCAATACATGATTTCTTATCCTATGGGGGAGCTGAGTTAGGATTCAACAAGATAAAATATCAAAATTGATACCCAATATATTCTCATGTTATCTAATACATTTGTATTTATTGCATTATATTTTGTTTTTTCTTTCTCCTTTCTCCTTCTACATAATCTTATCAGATTGCTAATCAGGTGCTTATCAAATACAAGACAGGATATTGGTTTATCAGCCCTATATCATATCTTACACTTATCAGCCCCATATCCTATCCTGTACACCAAGGATCCCTTTTTTAACAGTTGTCAATATATAATAGCTGTGATAATTGATCTTTCATCTCGAATCCTATGCATACAGAAAGTTATTAATCCCTCAACTTTCTTGTTTTGAATACCTAATCTCATAATCAAAACCACAATATGTCCCAGGAGGAAGCTTCAACATTAATTAAAGCAAGCAAGAGATTTCTAAGTGACAAGGGAAGAAGGAGGAGAAGCAAGAATGTATGACATAAATTAACATGTAGAAAAGCTTAACTAATTGTGCTCTCTCAAGCTTTCTTCTTCTTGGTTTGTGACATAAATAGAAACCGGTAGACCAAAGCAGCAAAGATAGCCCCTATAAAAGGAAATAACCAATACACATAAAATAGCTCCCAAGTGTTATGCTTGTTGTTCACATAGGCCCATCCAAAGGCATTGGCTGGGTTCATAGAAGGCCCAGTGTACCCAGAACCTGGAATAACCAAAGCCACAGTTGCCAAAGCAATCAAATACACCTTCAATAGTGGGTTTTTAGGACCCCTTAGCATGACAAAGAGGATAACTAAGTTAAGAGTAAAAGTTAACACCCCTTCTGCTATAGCTCCTTTGTGCAAGTCCACCTTCAAGGAAGGCCCTTTCAGCATGTGCTTGTATTTGGTTGGCATCACTAGCAAGGTAACCTTGGCACCAACAGCTCCACCTGCTGCTTGAGCAGGAAATCTAACAGCCATTGATGCAAGAGATGAATCAGGTCTTAGCCCTGCAGTGTAGAAGGAAACAGTGGTTGATGGGTTGAAGCTAGCACCACCCAAGGCCCTGCCAATTAAGCTTATTGTGAAGACCATAAAGGTGCTTAGAGTTGTGGTGATGAAAAGGCCAACAAGTGAAACAGGTTGAAGACCAAGAAAAAGAGCTATCTTAGCTGTAAGAATCCTCAAAGTTGAGATACCAAAAACCCATATTGATGTCAAGATTGCATCTCCAATGGCTGCCTTTATCACCCCCATATCCTCCTTCTATTCAGAGATTTTTGCTCTGTATATCCCTATTCAATGAAACTTGAACTCTCACACACTCTCTATGGCTAAATGTTAATGGCTAAGAATTAGAGAAAGATAGAGAGAAGAAGAATCTTTGGATGTAACTGGAGAACTCCATATTCACTATCAAGAGTGATGTAACCTAGTATATAGTAGTATAATTGAATTTTTTTATGGAGATTCGTGTCCAATATTGGGATCCACATAAATGTACCTATGTCAGGCCTATGGACCAATGCAAGAAAAAAATCATAAACCAATTAAGAGATGGAAGCTGAGCCACGTGGTGGACTAATGCAACAAAAAATATTTTTATGAAAATTTCAATTTTAACCATTGTGATTTTATGATGGGTAAAGTGTGTATCATTTTAAAGGATGTAAAGTTGTGTCATTTTAATTGAGAGAAAGAGATAGATAAAGGAGGAGAGAGAGTTGACAAAAAAATAAAGGTGTGGGTCCCACTTCTTTGTGAAAGTGAAAAGATATAAGTTGTGTCATTTAAAAAAATAAACATTTTTTCCTTTTATGATTCATTATTTAATTTATGTGGTTTTAAATTTATTATTTAAGTATATTGTGCTTAAATAATTTTGTTATTTAATTTTCTGTGATTTTAAATTTTTATTTATATTTATTATAGTTATAAAAATATATTACTTAAACACCTTGAGGTTTTATGTATACATAGTATTTTTTGTTTTTTTAACTTTTATCTTATATTATTATCATATTATAAATTAAAATTATACACCTAAAAATGTAAATTTTATTTAAATTTAAATTAATAATAATATCAATTATATCCTTATAATTTTATACATTTGCATTTTTATTTTTTCTCTGTTTTATTTTATATCCTCATCTACTGCATTTAAGGCAAATAATTTTTTAAAAAATTCACTTATTTTTATCATGAAAATAAAATAAAATAAAATATTATTTTATTTTATCTATTTTTTACCTGATATCATTATAAAATTATATAAAAAAAGTAAATATCTTATTTTGATAATATTTTTTATACATCGATAATACATATTTAATTTATCTTAAATAATATTTTTTAATTTTTAAATATATGTTTAAAAGAAATAAATAAGTTTAAATAATTTATAAATTAATTTCAAAATAAATAACTTGAAATATTTTTTAATTTAATATTTAATTATTAATTTGATTATATTTTATTCGATACTGTCATAATTATATAAAATAAAATTTGAAAAGTAATATTTTTATATTTATAAGACCACAAGAAATTTAAGTGATATATTTTTGTAACCACATAAAGTGTAAGTAAAAATTTGAAACCGACGAGATTAAATGATAAATTATTTAAGCACAATAAATCTAAGTAACAAGTTTATAACCACACGATGTCAACTGAATTATAAAATCACAATGGGGGAGAATGAAATTTTCCTTATTTTTATTTTTGTAACCTCAAACTTTTTTATTTTTTATTTTTTTTTAAATGATAGAACCCACATTTGATGTCTCTACAAGAAAATACAAATTTTTCCTTGTGACATGATATTCGTAATCCCCGTAGTTTAATCATAATGTTTTTTGAAGCAACTCAAGAAATGGGGGGAATATAATTGTTGTTGCTTTCGAAGGTGGAACTGAAAACAATCTCATGTTGCACTCTCTTGTTTCGAGGGTCAAATAAAACTGATGCAGAATGCAAATTTTTAATGGGACTTATTCTTCATGCAGGCCAAGCGTAAAGTTATATTAATTAAATAGTTAATATAATGTAAGAAGGGACATTTGCCAAAAAAAAATAAAAAAATTAATAGGGACTAATTCCTTGAAATGATAATTTAAAAATAAAAATGGGATATTTGTAAAAAAAATTATAAAACTCAATCTATCTTATTTTGGAAACTATATTCTTAATATAAAATAAAAGGAAATATTGTTTCGCATGTTATATGAGACGCAACACATACACAAAAAATGAGTGGACCCATTTTTTTTTTCTCTCTTCTCCTTGGTGTGTCCCTCCTATTTTTGTGTGTGTCTTATACAACATGAGAAATAATATTACCTAAATAAAATTGGTTATGTTCACTTCTTTTATTTAAATTGCTTATTTTAATTTACCTTTTTTAAGAATAAATATTTTAAAACTGGGCATCATTGTTTCTATCTCAGATATTTTTATTTTTTAGTAAGTCTATGTCGAATATTTTATTTTAGTGATTTTGTTTCCCCTCATGTTCCATGTATTAACCATTATAAAAAAATATACCGAAAGCACATATAAAAGTAGCTAAATAAAAGAGAATTCTCTTTATTCTTAATTATAATTATTAAATAATAAAATATTCAACTTCATATAAATAGAGTCCTAAACAACCTTTTACAAGATGTTAAATGACCCTAAAACATAATTAAAATATACCAAACAATGAAATTTTAAATATAGCTAATTAAAAGTAAATCAGCATTAAACACACCTCAAATAAGGAAATAATTAAAATCAAATTAATCTAATAATTAACGGATTAAGAAAAAAATAAATCACATTCCAAATCCAAATCTTCCTATGTAAGCAAATTTTAAATGCATCTTCCACCCTCACTAGGAAAATATTCGTCGTCGAATTTGTTTCATCTTCATTAATGGTAGTTGAAAATAGGTAAAACCCATTACAAAATATTTGCTTATATATATCAAATATTTTTCCATTACGTAAATTCTGCACAATATCAAATATAACAAAAATTTGTGGTATCACATCAAGTTTAACACCATCATCTGCAAGCATCAACTTGAAGATCTCAAAGAGCACCATTGTTTGTTTATCCCTATGTGAAAGCCCATATATAAAAGTGTTCCAAGTTACCACATGTGAATTCACATTAATGTTATTAAAATTATATTACTCCAAACTAAATGAAGAATTCAATGCCTCATTTGCAAGGCCTTGTTGAGCATTGTAACACCTCGTGTGCATCTAGTGTATTATCATCAATTATAGTATTAAGCATAGCTAAATTTTAAATAGTATTGCGAAAAATTGTGAACAACTTTTTCTTTATCTACATAAATTCATTTCATGTTCAATAACGTCTATTCCCTTAAATGTTAATCATACATTAGCTATGACTACGAGTATCCTACATTAGTTGTGCGATCGGTACACCTATCAACTGGCCTTATCTCCCCAATTGTCCGACCTACATGATTATTTCATGTATCTCAGTTGAGGAGGTATGTTCCAGACCCATTTCATGTAGTGGAGCAAATACGATAGAGATCAGAGAAAATCTAACAAGCCCTACACGGCCTGCACGAATTTTAGACCGAATCGAGAAAAAGATCAGAAGCAAGACCATTCACATAGTTAAGGTGCAGTGGGAAGGACGGGCACCAGAAGAAGCAACTTGGGAACGAGAGAGTGAACTTCTAAATCAATATCCCGAGTTATTCGATAGGTATGCCTTTTAAATTTTGAGGTCAGAATTTTTAAAAGGTAGGGTGAGTATAATATCACTAATAATAAAATCATATAGTTTAGAGAATGAATGTATAATTAGAAAATTAAATTAGTTAGAAAGACTAATTGTGAATTAAATTATTTTCGGGGTAAAAGTGTGAGTAATAAAAGTAGTGGGTTAATTATGCAATGTGTGCCAAGTGAGTGAGACCCAAAATAATATACGCAAGTGACACAATCTCCTTGTACCAACTAAATCAATAATCCTAACTAAATGGTTAGAATGGAACGAGGTAATATGGAAGAAAACTAAGGGTTAAAAATGTTATTTTCCCCTCAAGATATTTTAAAATAACAAAATCTCTCTCCTCTCCCTCATTTTCCACTTTCATTTCACTCTCCTTCCTTCTCTCCCATCGTCTCTTCCTCCTCCTCTCACTCAAGAAAGAGCCTTAGCTCCATTAAAGGCAAGGAGAGCTTTCCTCCACCTTGGCTTCTCACTTGTCCATCCTTCTTCACCCTTCATCATTAAGAGACCCTTGGAGAAGACCCATTTCCTTGTTTTTGGAATCATTATCGTGCAACCCTAGGTGTGAAGCAAGAGAGGGGTCTCTTACACTTTTGGGAGCTTTAGTATCACCTCTTCCAAGTGCTTTAGGGCTTGTAAGGTGAGAAAACATTTATTTTCATGAATTTTGAGAGTTTCATGAAATGGGTTGCTAGGGTTTTCATAGAAAATTTAGGGATTTCAAATTATATGTCATAGATAGGGAGGTTAAAGCTTGAATCCTCTTTTTGATGTGTAGGAACATTGTTGTAGGTGTAGATATTGGGTTGAGACAACCTTTGAGCTAGGCCTAGTATGTTGAAATCTTAAGAACAAAGGTTGGATTTGTATTGGTGGCTTTGTGATATTGGTTTTGTTGGACCATGATGAGTTGAGATTAAAGCCTAGAAAGGTAAACTCTTGGATTTTTGGAGATTTTTCCCTTGTTGTTCCACCACACCCCATGGGTTGATGTGGTTTGCATAGCATGTGCGTACATTGGTGTGAAAATTGGGTGTATATGCATGTTCTTGTATTGCAGTTGGTCTTGCGCTTATGCTTTACTGGATTGGATGGTCTTGCGCTTATGCTTGACTCGATTGGATGGTCTTGCACTTATGCTTGACTCGATTGGATGGTGCTTATGCTTCCCTAAATGGTTCTCTGGCCAATAGAATTGTTATGTGTTGAATGTTATATGTTATTTTGATGCTTGTATAACATGTAAGTGAGCTCGGGGTTGGAGGAGTCTCCAAGGTTCCTGAGTTTACTGAGATTGTCTCTCACCCTTTGTGAGATTTATTTTCAGGATCCATAGATAGTACAGAAGATGGACCTCAGGGTAGGATGCCCGAGCAGTGATGCATACTTTCGCATTCATTTTGAATATTTTGACATGCTTGCATACTTGTATCATTTGATGGAGGCTCTAGATATTATTTTTATTATGCATGCAATTATGTCAAGACGAATATTTTGTGGGAAAGCAAGGTCAAACTTGAATCGTAATTGGGTTATCATGGGATATGTATTTTGAGTACCATTTCGATATGTAATTGAGACTATGGATAACTGTATAATCATATGAGTTCTTGTACAATTGAATAGCTCCTTATTTTAGACTATGATGAATGGTTAGATGTTAAATGATA